ATCATCATCATCATCATCATCATCATCATCATTATCATTATCAGTATTGGTATCATCATCATCAGAATCATCATCGCCATGATCGTCATAATCGTCACCATCACCGTCAGCAGCGTCATCATCATCATCATCATCATCATCATCATCGTCATCATCGTCATCATCCACAACAGCAGCATCATCAGCAGCACCATCATCATCACCACTACCACCACCACTACAATCATCATCATCACAATCGTCATCATAATCGTCATCATCATCGTTCACCGCCATCATTCACCATTATCAAAAACATCATCATCATCATCATCATCAGCGGCAGCAGCATCACCATCAGCATCATCACAAACACCACCATCATCATCATCAGCAGTAGCAGCTTGATCATCATCATCATCAGCATCATTACCATCAGCAGCATCATCATCATCATAATCATCATCAGTATCAGCGTCATCATTATCATCATCAGCAGCAGCAGCTTGATCACCATCATCATCACTCACGTCATCCACATCATCATAATCATCAAAAACAGCAGCAGCAGCAGCAGCATCGTCGTCATCGTATACATCACCACCACCACCACCACAATCATCACCAGCACCGTGGCCATAGCCGCCACCACTACAATCGCCACCACCAGCATCATCATCAGAATCATCATCATTCCCATTCTTCTTCATCAGCATCATCATCAGCATCAGCATAATCATCATCAGCAGCAGCAGTGCCATCATCGCCGTCATCATCAGCAGCATCATCATCATCATCAGCATCACCATCATCATCACCACCAACACGATCATCATCAGCAGCATCATCCTCGCCATCAGCATAATCATCAGAAGCATGAGTCTTCATCATTCGCCAGCGTCATCATCAGCAACATCAGCATCATCATCATCAGCATCGTCATGATCATCATCGCCATCATCATCGTCATCATTATCGTCATTATCACCGTCAGTAACACCGTCATCCACCACCACCACCACCACCACCATCATCATCATCATCATCATCATCATCATCATCATCATCATCAGTATCGGTATCATCGTCATCATCGTCATCATCGTCATCGTCATCATCATCGCCATGACCATCAGAATCGTCATCATCACCGTCAGCAGCGTCATCATGACTGTCATCATCGTCATCATCGTCATCATCGTCATCATCGTCATCATCAACAGCAGCATCATCAGCAGCATCATCATCACCACTACCACCACCATTACAATCATCATCGTCACAATCGTCATCATCATCGTCATCAATCATCGTTCACCGTCATCATCCACCAATATGAAAAAAAAATCATCAGCGGCAGCAGCATCACCATCAGCATCATCACAACCACCACCACCATCATCATCATCAGCAGCAGCAGCAGCTTGATCATCATCATCATCATCATCATCATCATCATAATCATCATCATCATTACCATCATCAGCATCATCATCATCAGCATCATCATCATTACCATCATTACCATCATCAGCATCATCATCCTCATCATCATCATCAACATCTTCATCATCATCAGCAGCAGCATCGTAATCATCGTCATCATCGTCATCATCGTCATCAGCATCACGCGCGCGCACGTCGCTCGCGCTGCTCTGCGTGGCTTTGCCGCCTCTGCTGCTGCTGCGGCCACGCGCGGCGGCGGCCGCGCCTCGTGGAGGCCCGTTGACGCGAAGAGGCTCGCAATCGGCGGCCATACCGCGCGGAGGCTCCGCTGGACGGGCACCACAGCCCTCGGCCGCCAACGCCCGCGGGCCTCGAGGCTGTGCGGCCGCGCGGCCCGGCTGACTCTGCGTACCCTCGCCGCCCGCAGGCGGCGAGAGCACGCGAGGGTTTGACGATGACTTGAGCACCGCCCTGGGCCCGCGCGCGCGCGGCAGAGCGCACGCTCGCGCGCGCGGCTGCCCTCGCAGGCCCTCTCAGGGCCGCCTCTGCCGCCTGGGAGGGCGCCGCACGGGCGGGCCCTTCTCCCCCCCGCCCCGAGCCCGCAGGCGGCGAGAGCAGGCGGCGAGAGCGCGCGAGAGCACGCGACAGCACGCGAGGGTTTTCGGCACCAGTCCGTTCCATTGCAACTTGTTTTCGGCATCAGGCCGTTCCACTGCAGCTTCGGCTCCAGTCTTGCGGCGCGAAAAGCGCTCAGCATCCGATATCACATCCCATCATAGCTGAGCGCTGGGCCGCGCACTGCAGCAAAATATCGTCCACGTCTTGAGCCAGTTATTGCAACTTCTTATTAGTTCGGGTGCGGATGGCCCTGCGCCTCGGCACCGGGGGGTGCCATAGGTGGCGCGGGCAGCGGCGAGCGAACCTTCCGCGACCCACCAGCACGGCCTCGCTGACAAGCGGCACCGCCGCACCAAGGCCTGCGCTGCAACAGGGGCCTCCAAGCACGGCCTGGGCCCAACATCCCTGGTCGCAGCACTTCTGGAGGGGGCCGACGCTGCAGGTGGCGGCCGGCGTCCGGCAGGTCACGCCCCGTCGCGCCCGCCCGCTGCAGCCGACGACGCCGGAGATTCAGGTTGAGGATGGCGAACGAACAACACACACACACACAACGAACAACACACACCCATACCCATCGGGGGGGCGGAGAAGGCTATGGGTGCGGGTTGTCGGATGAAGGTCCCCGTTCGAACGGGAGCCTCCCCAGGTGTCCGACAACCCGCACACATACCCATAGCTCCTCCCTCCGACCTCCCTATGGGTATGGGTGTGGGCTGTTCGCTCAGAGTGTTGCTGAGGATTCTGCGCGCCATCGGCGTGCAAGGGCGTCCTTGCGACGCCTCGGGCGAGTCGGCCGTGCGTTCAGGGGTTCCTGAGTCGGAGGGGTGTGCGCGGCACCGCTTGTCTTTAGTCACGTACTGCCTGCCCGAGCGTGCAAGCGCGAGTGAGGCTTGCTCCTTCCTGGCACAACAAGGAAGGGTCTGACGGCTTCTACTGCCTTCTGTGCTGCATGTGGTGTACCCACCCGCAGCCTGCATGAGGCGCTTGAGTCTTCGATTGTTGATGCGCTGAGAGGGTCAGCTTCGTCAAAGAGTATGGGGGCAGTGGAGCGTAGATGGGGGCCGAGGTTTCGGTTCAGGACGGCGTCGGATCGGCCACTCACCAAGGTCTGGATCATAATATTTACCATTATGACTTTCATCTTTACCATCGACAACAGAATCCACATCATCACAATCCTCATCCTCATCATCACCACAACCACCACTGCCACCACCACCACTACCATCATCAAAAACAACAACAACCACAACAACAACAACAGCAGCAGCAGCAGCAGCAGCAGCAACAACAACAACAACAACAACAACAACAACAACAACAACAACAACAACAACAACAACAACAGCAGCATCAGCAGCAGCAGCAGCAGCAGCAGCAGCAACAACAACAACAACAACAGCAGCAACAACAGCAGCAGCAACAACAACCATATTAGTATTATCATCATCATCACCATCATCCTCATCCTCATCATCATCATCATCATCATCCTCATCCTCCTCATCATCAACATCATCATTACCCTCATCATCATCACCACCACCATCAGCAGCATCACAATCATCATCATCATCGTCATCATCATCATCAGCATCATCATCAGCAGCATCATCATCATCCCCATCACCACCATCATCATAATCATCAGCAGCATCATCATTATCATCATCACCATCACCATCACCATCACCATCATCATCATCATCATCATCAGCAGCATCATCATCATCATCATGGTCATCATCATCATCATCATCATCATCATCATCATCATCATCATCATCATCATCTCATCATCATCATCATCATCATCATCATCATCATCATCATCATCATCATCATCATCATCATCATCATCATCATCATCATCATCATTGTCATCATTGTCATCATCATCAGCAGCATCATCATCATCATCACCTGATGGGGCCTCTAGGGGGCCTGGAGAGTGCAGGAACGGGGACCTGCCCGCTGGGTAAAAGTGCACCACCCTCCTAAGTTGGATTGAGCTGGCCTGGTGTGAGCGGGGCTAAGCTTGAGCTGAATTATGTTGCGACGAGCAGGCTTGGAATAAAGAAAGGCGGGGCGGCCCCCGCCGCGTCGCCTCCCGCCGCATCATCTGCTGCTCTATCCCCGAGAAGGCGGGCGGCGCGTACATGGCATCGAAGTAGTTGAAGACCGTCGGAGCCCTGGCGCACCACCAGGACGCACCCACATCCACAGCTTCTGGAGTGCCGCCGCGGGGACCCTGGGGAGCGGTGGATGCGAGTGCTCTGCAGCAGAAAACATGCCCACCGCTCCCCGAGGCTCCCATGGGCACGGCCCCGAAGCGGCAGGCACGGGCTTGCCGGCAGAGCCTGTAGGGGAACTGCCCGATCGCCAGGTCCAAGTTCTGCGTGACGACCATCTCGTTCTTGTAGTCCGTGTAGTCCATGGACCGCATGAAGTGCACCAACTTCAGCATCGGCTCCCGCAGCAGCCCCACGGTGCCGACCTCCGCAGAGCGGGCCTCGGGGTGGAGCAGGATGGCCGCGACCGTGGCCGCGAGGTCGCCGTACCTGCCGGAATAGACTTGCCCCTCGTAGGCGCCCGTGGAGAAGGCCGTCGCCACGGCCTCCACGAGCGGCGAACGCAGCCGTATCCCGCCCTCGCGGTCTGGCTGCGCGATCCTGTGGATACGCGGTCGCACGGATATGCTCCGCGCGGGGCATCCGTGAAGCAACGCCCCGCACCCGTGGGGTCGCGGCCCAGGTGCCCAGCCAGCGAGGCCGTGGATATGGACGTGGTTCCTGCCCGCCAGGCCTCGAGGTAATCGCCCGACGGGTTCGAGGTCACGAAGCGCTGGATCAGCTTGCGGCTGACGACCACAGGCGTGTTGTTGTGGTAGAACAGGTGGTCCAACAGGCTCTCGACCTCCGCGTACGCGGCACGCTCCAGCGCCCGCCCTGTCTGGCGAAGCGCTCCAGGGGCGACAAAAGCTGGCGGGTTGCGGAAGGAGGCGCTCCCCACGCGTGCCATGCTCCGCTCGTTCTTGTAAAACTTGCCGTCGATCTCAAAGATTGTGTCGACATCTGGGGGATCAGCGCCCCAAATCCTCACCTCGCCGCTGCATGGCTGCGCGCACTGGGCTCCGCTGGGCACCTTGAACACGAGAATCTTGAGATCAGCCACCGCCTCCGCTTTGGTCGGGACGGTGGCGAACACCTTCTCAGCCTCCACCGTGACGTTGTAGTCGCCAGCCGGCGGGGGGCCACCAGCCGCCCAGCTGGGCATGAATCTGTTCTGATAGTGGTAATGCGTGTGCGCGCTGATCATGCCGTCCTCATGAACCGTCAGCTCGATCGAGCACGGGAATGGCGTCCACACGCGCTGTGCTGGCAACTCGCACTCTTCCGTGGTCTCCTGCTGGCACACGTGCATACCGAGGCTGGCACAGTGGCTCTCGGCGTCGTGGGCGCTGTATTGGACGCCGCAGACGCGGCTCTCAGCCCAGGCACCCTCACTGCAGTCGTCGCCGTCGTAGCCTGCGCCCCCCTCCCAGCAAGACAGCTGGCAGACAGGGGGAACCTTCCAATAATCGTCTGTGGCGTGCCCACAGTAGACTGTGGTCAACACGGGCTGATTATCTGGCCAGGTGAGCCAAGTGGTGTTGTGATTCTCGCAGGTGTAGCCCTTCATGGTCATCCAAGTATTCGGATCGTTCGTACACCCCCTGCAGCAGGACGCGGCAGCAAGCTTCCCCTCAGGCGGCACGCACTCGCGGCCAAAATAATAGTGCGAAATGCCCCAGTACTGGCCGTCCTCCGTGTACTGTCCGTTGTAGAAGAACATGTGCACGCACGGTGGCGGCACGTACTCGTAGTAGCCGCCGGGCACCTTGATGTAGGAGAGCGAGTCCAGTGCGCACTCGGACCCGTGGCACGGCAAGGCCAACGGCAGCGTGCGCGAGGGAGCCAACTTGCAGTCGCCCTCGTCGCCGCCGCACAATGCGCGCAGCAGGCCCGAGCCCGCGCCGGGCTCGAAGACGTGGGCGGCGCAGTCTGGCGGGCCAGAGTACTGCTCGTAGCCGGGCAGTGCGCGAGCGCCTGCGTCCGCGAGGGTGCACCTGAGTATCGTTTGACCGATTCCCAACCCCAGTGGCGTGGCCTGGGGACCACTGGCCGACTTACCCCCCTAGAGGGGGATATAGGCCGTTCCCTTCGGGTTTCGAGGGGTTGTATCCCCAACTGGGGTGGTGATTTGGTGGGGGTCTCGAAGATGATGGGGATGGGGAGGGGGGTCGGTTAAACGATGCTGACCTCTTGTCGTGGACCTGGAACGTGAAGTGCGCACAGCTGGCCACCCCCTTGCAGCGGGCCTGGCAGGCCGCCGCGTCCGGCTGCGTGCTCGGGGCTCCGGCCCCGTCCCGCGGGTCGTAGTAGACGTCGAGCTCCGTGCAGTTGGGCGCCGAGTGGCCGCGGAACTCGAACTTGGCTCCCGCGAGCAGGAAGGGCCGCTCGGGCATGGTGCCGCACAGGGGATATCCGTCGCCAAGGTAGCCACCGTACAGGTCCGGCTTGGGATAGATGTCGTGGGTCCTGCCGCGGATTCTCATGGGATCGATGTAGTTGGCGATCCCGTCCTCCGTTGCCAATTCTATGTTCTTACGCCTGTCGTTCCATCGGACAAACCCCGTGAAGACGCGAGCGAAATTCATGATATTATCGTTGGTGTAGGTCGGCACGTCCTCCCCCTTCTCGTTGACGACCACTCTTCCGTCCTTGGTGACCTTGGCGACGCCGATGGTGAACAACTGCATGACCTCGGGGGGAACAGAGATGTTCTACCCCGATATCTGTTAATCCTTCCACCTATTTGCAAAGCGTACATGGAGAGGGCAGTCCCTTTACACTGGCCTGGGCAACGAGACCTCCTATGTTATGAGGCACGTGAACAGTGAGAAACGAATGTCCGCTGGTCCTGGCTCCAAAACCTCAAAATGCACTTCCAGGTCGGGCCCGTATGATTTCGTGCAGTGTCTCAGGAAGCGGCCCTGGATGTGAAAGAAATGTCGTGGGAGCCGAACCGAGAAATCAAGCAGCACCCCTATTGCATTGTGGAACGGGTAGCGCTCACTGCGCACGCTATGGGGGCAATGGCTTCAAAGGCCCGGCTCGGCACACCGTCACAAGCGGACCAAAAGTATATACTCATTCATTACATTCCTTACACAAAATTAAAATTATGCTGTGACGAATCATCTACACTAGGCTTTACCAAGGTCGCCCCAGTGAGAATGTTCCATCGTGGGCAAGAGAGTTCCAATGTTGTTCAATGTGATCTCGGATACACAAGTCTGACAAGGTCATGTAGCAGAAGCGCGTGCCCAGCGATATTGGATTTGATGCCGATAAGAATCCGATGTACAGACGTGCCCCACAACTGATGCTACCTGGGGCACTTGTCGAGAAGGAAAAACAACGCCTGTCTACGAATTGATGGCGCATCAACCTGGAACCGCTTCCCAAGCTCATTCAGAGCGCTGCGTTTTAGATGCTTTCAGGCAGAGCACTCCAAGCAGGAAAAAATGCCAATCTAAACTGGCTCGCAAGAACACACAAGTGCTACGAATGCGCTTGTATAGATACACCTGTGCGTATGAAAACACTGTGTATGTATAGTCAGACATACACGTAGATCACCTGTGAATGTATACTAGACCCATCGCGCGATTCGCGCGCGCTCAAATTCTACTTGCCGTGGGACCGAGCGTATAGCGCGCCAAGGGACCGTAGCCAGACGATCAGGCTCATGGCTTGGAAGCCGACGCGTTGGTGGGGTGTACGCCTCAATGTGAAACAAGTTCTGCATAGGGGGTATTGTATGTTCTTCCCCGCTTCCGTCCCTGTCTCCGCTCTCCCAATTAATCAAGAACAGGGAGGAACAGGATAATGTGTGTGGAAGGGGGCGGGGGGATGGGGGGATGAATAGCGAGGGATCAGGGACTAGCGAGAGAGGAAGATGCGGGGGGAGGGATACGGAGGAGGAAGAAGAAGAGGATAAGCAGGAATATCGCTGCGAGTCAGGAGCAAGAGAAGGATGAAGTGCAGAGGATGAGTGAGTGAGGAAGGATCATAAAGAGGACGAGGACAAGGAGGAAGAAGAGAAGAAGGTAGATCATGAGGAGGAGCAAAGGCGAGGAGGTTGAAGAGACGGGCAGGGGATGCGCAGTGGAAGTTCGCAGGTGGAGACCTATTGCGGAATTGGGGGGCCTCGTGGAATCCTCGGTTGTGCCCTGCTCCCCTCTATCCCATTATGAATCTCGTCTTCATCGGGGGGCCTCTGAGAGGCATATGTGGGGCCTCTTGGGGGCGCCATGCGGGCCAGGAGCCTCTCAGGAGCCTTTGGGGGCTGCCTTGGGGATCTTGGGGTTGGCCAGCGAGCTGCACGCCGCCCTGGGGGGGCGGGGTGGGGGAGAATTTATGCAGTCTGGACGGTCGCTTGGGCGCATGCTGCAAGGTCGCTTCGGTGGAGGGCTTCTCCGAAGGGCCTACGTAGGCGACCCGTCCTCCTCCTCCTCTTCCTCCTCCTCCTCCTCCTCCTCCTTCTCCTCCTCCTCCTCCTCCTCCATCTCCTTCCCCTCCCCCTCCTCCACCTCCTCCTCCTCCTCCGCCTCCTCCCCCTCCTCGGGTCGCCTACGGCCCCGGGGGAAAACGTGCACGCTTCGGGGATCCCTTGGGGCCATCTTGGGGCCGTCTTGGGAGCCCTTTAGCCCGTCGCGGGTGGGACTCTCCTGGGCAGTCTTGAGTCCCTCTGGGGGCACTCTTGGAGCGCCTGAGGTTCTCTTGAGCCTTGTCAGGGTCCTCTCGGGCCGTTTTTGGTCTCTCTCGGGGCCCTCTTGGGCCGTTCTCGGGCTCCTCCAGAGGCCGTCGTCGGCACCCTTGGAGCTCTCGCGGGGCAGTCCTGAGCCATCTGGGGGCAACATGAGAAATCACTTAAGAGCCTTTCGTCTTGAAGCCAAATTATGTCAACAACTGAGAACAACAGAAACTACTGAAAACCCATAGGGCTTCATATGTTGTTGATTGATTTGGCCCCTTTAGATGCCCTATGTGGGCACTTCGGCAGCCTCTTGGGGTCGTCTCAGGGGCCTGTTCGTAAGCTGGGAGTCTCTGGGGGAGCCCAGGGACCTCTTGGAACCGCTGGGAGTTCAGGGGGCCTCCTGGGGGAACCCAGGGCTTGCTCCTGAGACTCTCCAGGAGGGGCTCGGAGGGGGCACTTCAGGGCCTCTGGGGGGCCCCGGTGTGCTGCGGCCCCCTGGGGGCCCCCGGAGCTGGATCTCCGGCGTGCGAGAGATGTGTTTACACGTAGCACCCCGCAGTTGCGGATAAGAGTGCGGGGGCGGCGGGGACGTCGGCAGTCTGCGAGGCTCTGGGGCAGCCCGCCGCAGGCGCCTCATTTTTACAGGTTATGCCACGAGCTCGCTGCAGGCGCCGATTTCTCGTTAAAGCAATGTGGGTGGGTCGCGGGGTGGGTCGAGGGTGGGTCGCGGGTGAGTCGCGGGTGGGTCGCGGGGTGGGTCGCGGGATGGATCGCGGGACGGTCGCGGGTGGGTCGCGGGGTGGGTCGCGGGGTGGGTCGCGGGTGGGTCGCGGGCGGGTCGCAGGCGGCTCGCAGGTGGGTCGCGGGGAAGTCGTGGGTGGGTCGCGGGCGGGTCGCGGGGTGGGTCGCGGGTTTGTCGCGGGTGGGTCGCGGGCCGGGTCGCGTGTGGTTCGCGGGTGGGTCGCGGGCCGTATCGCCGGTAGGTCGCGGGTGGGTCGCGGGTGGGTCGCGGGCCGGGTCGCGGGGGGGACGACGACAACAAACAAGAAACAACAAACAAGAAAAACAACAACCATAACAACAGCAACCAACCAACCAACCAACCAAAACAACAACATCAAAAGCAACAACGACAACAGCAACAACACAACAATAGCAGCAATAATAATAATACGACTAACAACAACAACAACAACAACAACAACAACAACAATCACTTTACCCGAACGCTCAGTGTTCTCACCAGTGCCAGGGTTTTCATGCGACGCCAGCCAATACCCCCACTTTGTGGGGGGGCAGTGCAAGCTCTACCAAATATCCACACGACTCTTCGCCACCACCCACACCCAGCTTCCCGCCCTATGACGTTCGGACACTTCACTTCGTGGCCTGCGGACGACCGTGGCTACTACACTGGCGTGGAGTACACACCCACAGAAGTTGTTAAGCCTACGTTCGTACACCCACAGAAGTTGTTAAGCCTTGTTAACCCACAGAAGTTGTTAAGCCTTCCACAGAACATCTGTTGCATATGATGCATATGGTACATGATACACATGATACACATGATACGTACTCACAAGATAGTTGATCACATCTTTAGGGCAAATTCCTGAGGGATGTGGGAATACACAAGAGAGAGAGGATATGGTTGTCCCGATGGTTGTCTCGATGGTTGTCCCGATGGTTGTCCTGATGGTTGTGGTTGTCCCGATCGTTGTCCCGATGATTGTCCCGATGGTTGTCCTGATGGTTGTGCTTGTCCCGATCGTTGTCCCGATGACTGTCCCGGTGAAAAGTCGTGCAGGTGTTTTTCGAGGACCTACGGTGCGATTCGTGTGATTTTATGATGCGCGGTGCTAAAATTCTTAAGAAGCCCAATGGTTTTTGGAGATTTCGGCGTGCGCGCGCGAAGAAAAAACGAATGTGTCCCGCATGGTATTATTTGACAGGGATGATGGCCCTGGCAGGTGCGCAACCGTTGTCGCAGAAGTTCGAAAAAGTTGCTCGCAAAAGCCCGTTTGACAGAAATGTTTAAAAAGTGTTGGGTTTCCTACGAATCCGCAAGAGCGCGCGGGATGAGATTTTGACATTTTTTTGTTGAAAAACCATTGGTTTTTTGATGTTTTTATGTTAAAATCGCTGCGAACACTAAGGTTTTGGAAGGATTTCGTCTTGCGCGCGCGAATGTCCACTTTACCTTATTTTTTGCAAGGGATTCTTGAAATTTGATTATATTAGAACAAGAAATGTCATTTTCTATTGTTTTTTGCAAGGGAAAGCGGATTACAACAAAACAACCGGATCCTGTACACACCCTCTTTTCTGAGGCTTCCTCACGAAAATGATGAAAATGTAGCTGCGGCCTAGGCGGCGCAGGGGGGGCGCGCACCAGGGGGCCCAACAATAATTATTCTTTAGAATAAATAATGTTCAACAACAACAACAACAACAACAATCACTTTACCCGAACGCTCAGTGTTCTCACCAGTGCCAGGGTTTTCATGCGACGCCAGCCAATACCCCCACTTTGTGGGGGGGCAGTGCAAGCTCTACCAAATATCCACACGACTCTTCGCCACCACCCACACCCAGCTTCCCGCCCTATGACGTTCGGACACTTCACTTCGTGGCCTGCGGACGACCGTGGCTACTACACTGGCGTGGAGTACACACCCACAGAAGTTGTTAAGCCTACGTTCGTACACCCACAGAAGTTGTTAAGCCTTGTTAACCCACAGAAGTTGTTAAGCCTTCCACAGAACATCTGTTGCATATGATGCATATGGTACATGATACACATGATACACATGATACGTACTCACAAGATAGTTGATCACATCTTTAGGGCAAATTCCTGAGGGATGTGGGAATACACAAGAGAGAGAGGATATGGTTGTCCCGATGGTTGTCTCGATGGTTGTCCCGATGGTTGTCCTGATGGTTGTGGTTGTCCCGATCGTTGTCCCGATGATTGTCCCGATGGTTGTCCTGATGGTTGTGCTTGTCCCGATCGTTGTCCCGATGACTGTCCCGATGATTGTCGTGCAGGTGTTTTTCGAGGACCTACGATGCGATTCGTGTGATTTTATGATGCGCGGTGCTAAAATTCTTAAGAAGCCCAATGGTTTTTGGAGATTTCGGCGTGCGCGCGCGAAGAAAAAACGAATGTGTCCCGCATGGTATTATTTGACAGGGATGATGGCCCTGGCAGGTGCGCAACCGTTGTCGCAGAAGTTCGAAAAAGTTGCTCGCAAAAGCCCGTTTGACAGAAATGTTTAAAAAGTGTTGGGTTTCCTACGAATCCGCAAGAGCGCGCGGGATGAGATTTTGACAATTTTTTGTTGAAAAACCATTGGTTTTTTGATGTTTTTATGTTAAAATCGCTGCGAACACTAAGGTTTTGGAAGGATTTCGTCTTGCGCGCGCGAATGTCCACTTTACCTTATTTTTTGCAAGGGATTCTTGAAATTTGATTATATTAGAACAAGAAATGTCATTTTCTATTGTTTTTTGCAAGGGAAAGCGGATTACAACAAAACAACCGGATCCTGTACACACCCTCTTTTCTGAGGCTTCCTCACGAAAATGATGAAAATGTAGCTGCGGCCTAGGCGGCGCAGGGGGGGCGCGCACCAGGGGGCCCAACAATAATTATTCTTTAGAATAAATAATGTTCAACAACAACAACAGCAATAATCATTTTAAGACTGCTCGCCCTATCTGCTCGAGTGTCCAATAACGCGTATTTCCCAAACCCTCGATACCCGCCCTCTTCGTCTTCGATCGAACCCCTTTTGGGGGGGTATACCTTTCTTCCCTGCAGGCCGGGCTCCGGCAAGCGGCGGGGCGGCCGTGGACCGTCGGCCTGGCCAGCGGCAGCGCTGATCGGCGGGGCGGCCGCGGACCGTCGACCCGACCCCAAGAGGGACGGACAGGGGACCGACCACGACGACGACGACGACGACGACAACGTCGACGACGACGGCGACGACGACGACGACGGCGGGCGAAAGCGAGAGCGAGCGAGAACGACAGCAGGGCCACGAAGGACACGAAGTAGGCCACGAAGGGCGACAGCGGGGACACGAAGGGAATGCGTATGGGGCCACGAAGAGCGCGAACGAGCGGGGGCCACGAAGGGCAGATAATGCGGGGCCACAGAAGGCAACGATGGGCCCACTGAGGGTAGCAACTGGGCCACGTATGACAGTGAAGGGGCCACAAACGGCGACAGCGGGGCCACGAAGGGCATGCACATGGGGCCACAACGGGCGCGACTCCTGGGTGCCTGGGTGTCGGGAGCGCGGCGCTTGAGCAAGTTGCAAGAAATGCCTACGCAAGGGCGCTATTCTTCAGCAATTGCAAGCAAGTCTCCTGCCAGAGCGCGACTCCAGAGGGACGGGAGAGCGATTCCTGAATAAATTGTAAGGAAGTCCCCAGCGAGAGCGCGATTCCTAAATAAAAGGCGAGGAAATCTCGGGCGGGAGCGGGGGCACTGGATAAATTGTAAGGAAGTCTCAAACAGGAGCCGTTGTTGTTGTAACTCAGTTGCCAAGGGCCCAGTTTGAGCATCAAGACTTTCCCTGTCCAGAAACAGGGTGCGAGCGTCGAGGGGCACACTTTGATTGAGAAAAACCATATGCACCAGCGGGAGGGGATCAACCGGAAGTACTCTGCAGAAATGAAAGTCCAACAACAACAACAACAACAACAACAACAACAACAGCAGCAACAGCAACAACAACAACAACAACAGCAGCAACAGCAACAACAACAACAACAACAACAATTTCTGCCTATGATCGGCATACCCCCCCGACCCGCCTGGACCAACTGAATCCCAACATCGAGGGCGCACGCGATGTTTTAATGCGGTTGCGGCAGCACCCGGCCTAGCGCGGTCCGCGAGCACGGGGCCCGCGTTCTGCGCGCTCCCAGGCGCAATGGGAAAATGCAGAATTCATCCGAAACGGGACTAGGGTGGGTGGGAACGTTTCGCAACTCGCCGGCTTCAGCCAAAACGGCCACGTCCGGCGAAGGCTAGCGAGACGCCATCCTGAGCCCGCCCTCCACCCGGATCAGAGTTAAGAAATTGTTACACACGTCCTAACGGCCACTAGCAACAATTTCTGCCTATGATCGGCATACCCCCCCGACCCGCCTGGACCAACTGAATCCCAACATCGAGGGCGCACGCGATGTTTTAATGCGGTTGCGGCAGCACCCGGCCTAGCGCGGTCCGCGAGCACGGGGCCCATCCTGACCAGCGCTGCCGGGGCCCGCACTACCGCACAGCACCGCCTTGCGCGCCCTGCGGAGAACTGGGAAACAGCGCCCGCAGAGGTCTTTGTACAACCGGGGAAGGGCACTGACGCGCACGGCGTTGCGGCCGCACTCAAAATGCCAAAGGCACCTGCAGAGACCTTGGCTGTCCTCTCCAGCTGCGTCGAAGACCAGCACAGCATGGTACACGCCACTGGCCTCATTCCTGACGAGGGCGACGTCCTCGCCCAGGCCAGCCGAAGGCGACGCGGGGGCGCCCTGGCAGGATTCCTCGCTGATCGCCCGAAGACGAAGGGACTCCCAATCCAAGTGCCTTTTTATCTCCGCGACGTCGAGGCGGATCGTCGCCCGCTCCTGCGACCCTGCCCCGGCGCTGGACTCGAGGCAGCGAACCCGCTCGAGAAGATCGTCGAGACGCGATGCCGTCGCAGGACCTGTGGCGCCCTCACGTCGGGCCTGGTGCCCTGTTGACGTCGCCGCGAGCTGGCCCGCCACCTCGTCCAGGCTCAACGAGACCGACGCGCCCGGGGAGGCGCCGCAAGAGGCCCGGAGCGCCCAGGCCGTGGACACCGCCAACGGCGCAGCCCGGATGTACCCGAGGACAGCGTCGCTCCCCCAACGCCCCAACAACTGGATAAGCCAGATGTCCAAGCCAGCGCGGGCGAGGCTCTGGGCGCCGGACACCCCGAGAGAGTGCCCTCCCCAGAGGTGGAGGCCGTCTGCAGAGACCGCGGGCAGGCCGAGCGCCTCCGCGGCGGCCCGGATGGTGGCGACGACCGCATCCTTCTCGCACACCTTGCCCTCGGGGTCCGGGAACAAGGCCAGGTCAGGCGCGGGCAGGCCGTCCGCCGAATGCCGCGCAGGAAACCGAGCCCTGAGCCATGACCGCTGGGCCCACAGCGCGTGGGCCGGGCAAGCATTGCCGAAGACCCCAGCGCCGCAGCAGCAGCCGTGTGTGCGGGCCACGCCTAAGGCCCGAGTGTCCGTCTTTGACGCGGGCAACAGCCACGTGGAAGCGAGTCGGCCGTCCGTCCCGGCGTGGAAGGTGACCATGTGCGCGGGCGCGGCGGAAAGCTCGATCTCGCGCGTGAGCCACCAGGCGCCCGCCAGCAGCGCCAACCGGGGGTTGGCGGGGCCCCCCGCAACCAGCGGAGTCGCGTCCGTCCGGAGCTGGGCTAACGTCTCCATCGCAATGCCCTCGACCTTGCGGTCTGGCCCGAGCCCCCGCTCGCACGAACGCCGTGCCTCGGCCAAGGCTTGGCCCAAGGAGGGGGGGAAGTCGAGGTCGGCCTGCACGTGCATCTTCTTTGCCAGCGACAGGTACAGGGCTGCGGACCTGTATCCGCCAGCCTTCAGCGAAGCGCCCAGCCGCCTGATCTCCGGCCGGGTCAGGGGGATCATCTCGACGCCCCACTGCTCGAAGATGGCCTTGAGCGTCCGGCGGCGCGACGCCTCCGAGTTCGCGGTCGTCGTCGCCAGCACTTCCGCGTCGAACTGCTCGAGGGCGCGGGCCTGGGCCTGCGCCGACGTGAGGTCCGCAAGGCACCCCCTCCGGTACTGGCGCCTCCCTGGCGCCTCGCCCCGCAACCCAGGGATCGACGGCCGCGCGGCCTCCCCCTGATGCGCCGCCGTACCCTGGGGACCACCGCCTCCTGGCGCCAGGCATGGCCGCGCCGGGCTGGGGCCCGACACGCTGCCATCTGCCGCGCCGAGGAGTGGACTACCCCGATGCCTGGCAGACGCCGGGCCTGGATCCTGCCCAACCTGACGCCGTTTGCGTCCTGCCAGGCTGGCTGCCAGATCCCACCGTGGCTGGAAGGCGCACATGGCGCGCGCGGCGCGCCGTGGGCGACGGCGCGGAGCCGGCCCACCTCGGGCCGCGGCACTACCGGACTGGGGGGGGGCGGGGATGCCTCTGACTAGCCCGGGAGGGCGGCCTCCAAAATGTGGCATCAGAGACCTCGTGAGGGTTAAAACTGAGGCCTCAGTTTTAACCCTGAATCTCCCTTGCCCGGGGGCGCGCCGGGGGGCCGGGTGGCCAGGGGTGCGCACGGGGGGCCGGGTGACCAGAATTCACCGGGGGCGCCCGGCCGCCGCCCGGCGAATTCTGAGCGCCCGCCAGGGTGCGCTCAGAATTCCCCGGGGGCGCCCAGCCACCGCCCAGCGAATTCTGAGCGCCCGCCAGGGTGCGCTCAGAATTCCCCAGGGGGGCGCCCGGCCGCCCCCCGGACGCCCGCTGGGCGCCCGCGGGGGCGGCCCCGCCCCGCCCCCGGGGACCTCCGGTGGGGCGAGGAAAAGGTAGGGACGATGAAAGCAAAACTTTTCAAGCCACCCCTCTGCTGATATGGTCTCGCGCCGCCCTGCACTGCCTTTGCCCCGGGAGCCGAGCGGCGGCGCCGCCTTCATGGCCTGGCGCCGCCCTGCCCAGGCCCCCGCTGGGCGTCCGGGAGCGCGCGGCTGAGACTGGCGTGGCGCACGCCTCACTCGGGAACCCGGGCCCGCCACACCTGGCGCCACGCGGGCACGGGGCTCCGCGGCACGCCGTGCAGCCTAGCTGGGAACGCCGCGGGAGGCACGGCCGCCAAACGGCTCAGGGAGTCGGCGACGAGGTTGAGCTCCTTGGGCAAGTGGGCGCACTCGAAGTGCAGGGGCCACCGAGCTGCCCGCCAGGCGATCCCCCGGGCGACGACGAGCATGTCTCCGCTGCCTTTGAGCTGCATCGCGTCCTGCAAGGCCGCCACGTTGTCCCCGAGGACGTAGAGCACGGCGTGCTCCGCGTGGCACCGCCAAATGATGAGCGCGAGGAGGAGCGTGATGAACTCCCAGAGGCTCTGATACTTTGCCAAGCCCAGAACGGCTCCGAAGACGTCGAGCACCTCGTGGTCCCACGAAGTCGCAAACCACTCGACTGGGGTCGCGCCCTCGAACAGCGCGGCGCCGCCCCCCCAGGGGCAGGCGTCAAATTCAACGTGGTATCTGGATCGCGGCCACTGAACCGCGTCGGGGCGCGGATACACTCGCCGCTCCAGCGGGAAGAAGCACTCGGGTCGGCGCGCCTCGTCGACTGGCTCCAGCAACGCGCGGAACCAGCGAGCCGCGGTGAAGAAGCGCTGGAGCGGCACCGTGTTCGGCGGGGACTCCCGCTTCCCCGCGTTCGCCTGGCGGAGGGCCCCCGTCAGCGCCGCCCACAAGGCCGCGGCGAACGGGGTCGCGGCCGGGATGATCTGAGCAACCCGGGCTGCCTTCCCCACCAACGACCGCGCTTGCTTGATCGGCGCATGGCCCTTCTTCGCCATGAAGTGGCGGAGGAGCTCCAGCAACTCATCGATGAAGTTCTGGGTGAGCCCCATGACGGCACAATCCTCGGCCATCGCGAAGCGAATGCCGATCCACTCGTGCTCCAGGGCCGGACGCGGGCCCCCGCGGAGGGGCCCGTGCGCGTGGCGGCCCTTCTTCCACGCGATGCGCAGCCCGAGCACGAGCCACCAAAGCAAGGCCAGATCGAATTCCTGCTCGCACGCCCGCGGAGGGCCCTGCACCGCCAGCGCTGGGTCGTCCACGTACAGCTGGAGCCGCAGGCCCCCGCTCAGCGTCAGCGCCTGCGCAGTCCGCGCCGCCGCGCTGGCCACGCGGGCCCAGACCAGGGGATTCGCCTTTCCCCCGAACCCGAGCACCGCCCACACGATGAACGTGTAGTCGTTCTCCGCCTCGAGGCCCCGCACCTCGGCGCAATTGTACGGGCGCTCGCTCTCGTGGAGCGGGCACGACATGAAGGCGTCTGAGAAGTCGATGACGAGGATCTCCCCGTGGTCGGCTCCGTCCGCCGTAAAGAGGGTCGCCATGTCCACGGCGTGGTCGATGCCACGGGGCAGCACCGCCCGCTCGGGAGTGGAGCTGAGGAGGTTCACCCGCGATGCCTTCAAGTCCTGGATGATGCGGTTCTTCCAGCCGTCCCCGCCCTGCTTCCGCTTCCGGACGTTTCCGAGCGGCGCGGGACACGTGGGCCCGAAGACCTCCTCGGCGGCCTCGCGAGACGGAAATGCTCGGCCGAACCCCTTCTCCAGGTACTCCCGGACGAGGGGGAGCGTCGGCGCCTCGTTCTCGCCGAAATCATCCACGAACGAGCGATGGTTTCCTGAAAAACAAAACTCCCTGCGGAAGGCGTCCACTGAAAGGGTCGCCTCTGCGGCCGCCAACGGGAAATGGCCGCCGGGGGCGATCGCTCGCCGGATGCCCATCGGGGCTCCCTCCCGGAGCCAGATGGGCACGTGCACGTCGGGGTCCTTCGACCGGCGGGCGCACTCCGCGAAGATCTCGTGCCGCAGTGGGGAGGACGGATGGTGCTCCTCGGCCTGCGCCATCCCCAAACCCAGGGCCGCTGCCACCTCGGCGCGGGCAGACGCGACAGCAGACTCGGGCGGGGGCGCGCGAGAGGGCCGCTGCCCGCGCGCGCCCACCATCCCGACCAGAGCGGGCTCACGTGCCCGCGCCCGCAGAAGGGCTGCCCGCACAACCGCCATGGCCTCCTGGAGGTCGCCCCACGCCTTCACTACCCTGTGAGGGTTGCGGAGGCCGGCGGTGCAGAGGGCATCCTGGGCCGACCGCTCCTCACGCGCGGATGGGCCCTCCGGCTCGCCGGGTGGTCGACGGGGCCGCACGCGTCTCCGATCCCACATGTCTTGGCCGGGGTAGCCAGCCGGCTGCGCCAGCGCGGGCGGCGTCGGACGAGCTGCGGCCGGAGCGTCGCCGCGACGCGCCCGCTGGCCCCCCCGCGCCCGGAGCTCCCCGAGCCGACGCTGCAGCTTCGCCAGCGCGCCGAGGTGGGAGCCCCACGCGCGGGCCAGTCCGCGACGCCCCGGCAGCGCGCGAGCCCTGGCTGCGTCGTCAGCGCGCCCGGCGGCCCCGGCGGGCCCCCCGGCAGCGCCGCCAGCGCGCCCGGCGGGCCCCGAAGCCTGGGGCCCCGGGGGCCCGGGGGCCGGGGGTCCGCCGGCAAGCTCGCGCCAGCGCGATTCAGGCGCCGGCTCGGCGCGGGGCGACGCGACCGGCTCTGGGGCCGCCAGCGCAGACCTTATTGGGGCCGACCTTATTGGGGCAATGCTTGTTGAGGTACCCGGCCTGGGAGAGGCCGTCCTTGTAAGGGTACTGGGGCCGCGGCCTAGTCACCGGGGGTGTTTCCCCCCTCCCTTGCCGCCGCCCCTGTTGCCCGGGCGCCAGCCCTCGGGGCGCTTCGGCGCCGGGCACGAATCATCGATCGCCCGGTGCGGCCCCTTGCACCATTCACACACGTGCTGCCGATTCGCTGGGCAGGGCGACGAGCAGCCGTGGGCGTTGCGGTTCCAGTTGAAACACAACTCGACGCCCTGGTGTTTCGTGAACCGGCCGTCCTTGGTCTCTCCGGCCGCGTTGTTGTCCCTGACCTGCTGCCAATGAGACTTCGCCTTCTTGGCCCTCTTCGCCCCAGCGCCCGTGGGGCGTTCAGAGCCGTCGCCGCGGTGGTCAGCAGCCCGCTTATCGGATTGCCGCTCGATCTGGTCGACGGCTGATGGGCCGCCCTCGACCTCCGACGTGCGAGAGCGGCCGCCCGTCCTGCCGGTCAGGCACGGGAGCTCCAAGTGGATCTTCCACCACTGCGAGTCTTGCCCGCTGTCGTAGGCCGTGTAAGAGAATACGGCTTCCCAGGGGCGCTCCCGGTCGAAGTCGCCCTGGAACTTGCCCTTCTCCACCAAGTCCTCGATCTTCGTGCGGACCTGATGCCAGCGCTCCTCCAAGCAGTGGCAGACGGTCAGGAAAACGGCCCCCCAGTCACGGGGGAAGGTCGAGTTGAGGAGCCGCACCCCTTCCTCAAAATCGTCGATGGGACCCGGCCTCGAAAGTTGGAGCTTGATAGCCGCCACGCGGAAGACTCGCCAGCCCTTCCGCCAAGTCTCGAAGTTCTCTGGCCCGGCGAGCTTCTTCTTCACCAGCTGGCCGCTCACCCAGACGTCGGCCTGGAAGTTCATGAGCCGCTGGATCCGTTTCCCAAAGGGTCCGAAGACACTGAAGTCGACGTGCGGCGCCTCGCCCGCGGCGAGCCGGGCGGCCAGAGCCGAGAGCTGGACGTCCGTCGTGTCCTCGTAGTCCCTGGGCGGGCGCCCAGTCTCCCGCACGTAGTTCGCGTTGAGTTCCTTGAGCTTCAGGGCAGGGAGCATCGTGAACTTGATTTTCGACCCCTGGTCGATGACGCTGCTCATCTCGTACACCTCGGGCTGCTGCGCCGGCGCCGCCGCCGCGGCCTGCGGCGCCTGCAGGGGCCCCTGGCTGACCACGGGCGGCATGTCGCCCAGGAGCGGGGGGGGCAGCCCCACCGCGTGCGCCAGGCCCCGCAACGAGGCGCGGAGCTGGCCGCGCGCGATAGGGGTGATGTCGACGCCCTCCTCGGTCTTAACCGCCCACAGCGCCTCGTACATGTCACCGTCGAGGCTGCCGTACACGTCGCTCACGGAGGTGCTCTCCCACGCGCCCCCGAGCGCCTCCACGTAAGGCTTGAGGAGATCCTCGGAGAAGCCCAGCGACCTGGCAGCGGCGCCGAAGGTGAGGCCACGAAGCGCGGCCGTCGTTCCAGCTGACGCGACGCCTGCCCCGCCTGGCCCCCTCGAACCGGCACCGCTCTCTGCCCCGCCGACTCCCCCGCCCGCCGCGCGGGGTGGCACCGCGAACCCTGCCGCGGGCTCCACGCCAGGCGCTGCAGGCGGGAAGAGGGACATTGCTGGTAGCGAGCTGTGTTCCTGGCAAACTAAGGCCACTCTAACGTTTCGCAACTCGCCGGCTTCAGCCAAAATGGCTACGTCCGGCGAAGGCTAGCGAGACGCCATCCTGAGCCCGCCCTCCACCCGGATCAGAGTTAAGAAATTGTTACACACGTCCTAACGGCCACTAGCAACAACAACCACAACAACAACAACAGCAACAACAACAACAACAACGACAACAAGAACAATAACAACAACAATCATTACAACAACAACAACAACAACAACAACAACAACAACAACAACAACAACAACAACAACAACAACAACAGCCACAACCACAACAACAGCAGCAGCAGCCGCAGCAGCAGCAGCAACAGCAACAACAACAACAGCAACAGCAGCAGCAACAACCACAACAACAACAACAAGAACAGCAAGAAGAAGAATAAGAACAACAACAACAACAGCAGCAGCAACAACAACAACAACAACAACAACAACAACAACAACAACAGCAGCAGCAGCGACAACCACCACCAACATAACAACAACAAGAACAACAACAACAACAACAACCATCAATTTAAGACTGCTTGCTCTTATCTTCTCGCGTGCCATTCAACACGTATATCCCAGACCCTCGATACCCGCCCTCTGCGTCTTCGATCGTACCACCTTAGGGGCATGTCTCTTTGACCTGCTACGTGTATTTCGTGCAGCCTCTAAGGCAGACGAAGAGAGGACGGATGGAAGGAAGGGACAAGGGGGAGGGAGGAGGATGGAGCACGAGAGAGTATAGCAGGACGGGGGCTAGGAGCAAGAAACACGTGGCAGAACCAGACGGGCAGATCGGGCGGGTAGGCCCTAACGGGCGGGTCGGGAAGGCGGGCTCAGGCAGCCAGGTCGAGCAAGTGGGTTGCTGAAGCGTGCGTCCTGCATGAACCGCGAGGAAGTCTGGAGCGATAGCGCGATTCCCAAATAAATCGTGAGAAATCAACAGCGAGAGCGTGATTCCTGAGTCTCGAGGGCGCGGCTCTGAATAGATTGCGAGGAAATCCCAAACGAGAGCGCGATTCCTGCATAAGTTGTGAGGAAGTCCCGCGCGAGAGCGCGATTTAGGAATACATTGTGAGGAACTATCAGGCGGGAGCCGTTGTTGTTGTAAACTGGGGCCCAGGGGCACAATTTGATGACCCCGCACTGCACCTTGTGAAGAACAGGGTGCGAGCCCCAGAACAGGCACTTAAATTGAAAAATACAATGGTTCCCGGAGGGGGGGGGATCAACAATGATTATTCTGTAGAAACGAAAATTCAACAACAATCCGCACCGCAGAACCGCACTTCAGCCACGCGCCCAGGGACAGTGAATGACCGTTCGGCCCCCTCACTCGGATATACGCACACACACACACTATAAACAGACATACAGATGCCAGCATACACATGTGTTTGCATATACGTGTACGCACGCAAATACCAACATAACTATAAACGCGTGCGCAGCTCTACCAACTGCCTCCTATGTGCGTGAATCATGGTCCGACGGAGCTTGAGACCTGACCAGCCTGGCCCAGTTCTGGGCTCCCCGAGAATGCCCAAGACGGCCCACGACGGCGCCAAAACCTCCTCAGGGCAGCCCAAGAGAGCACAAGAGACCCCCAAGGCGCCAAGAGGCGCAAGACGGCGCCCAAGAGAGCCCAAGAGGCCCAAGAGAGCGCAAGAAACCCCCAAGGAGCCCAAGAGAGCCCAAGAGGCGCAAGACGGTGCCAAAACCTCGGCGGCCCAAAACCTCCCCAAGAGGTCCCGAAGAGACCCCCAAGACGGCCAATACGGTGCAAAGACGGTCAGTTATGGCCCCCAAGATGGCCGACAGAAGGCCATTAGGCTCCCGAGACGGCCCAAGGGGGCTTGAAGAGGGTCGAGGCGGCCCTGAGAGGGCCCATCGACGCCCCCAAGAGGCCCCCAAGAGACTCCGAGGAGGCCTCCGATTGGTCAGCCAATAAACATGCAAATCTGCAACCGTTCAGCGATACCGCGTTGCGTGATGACAAGTGCGCGCGACAGTGCAACGGGACACCCCTCAGAGAGGCCCGCCAGCGCGACGCATCCCCATCCCGCCTCGCGGGCATAGTTCTCGTCAGCGTAGGAGAGGCTGTCATCAAAGGAGAAGCTGGTCATGTACGTGAGGTACTCGCCCATCAGCGGCGAGAACGTAACCTCCCTCAGAAGGTCCCTGTAATTCCCGAAGGCGTGGCGCACGAAGAAGTCGTAGTAGTTGGTCCACATCTCGGTGAAATAGTCGTGGCCGCCGAGGACGGACCCGATCACGAAGATCTGGGAGAGCGCCCAGGCCATCCGCTGCCGCAGCTGGTCGGCGGCGTTGATCGCCACATTCAGCCAGACTGCGCCCCTAGCGAGCCAGACGGTCAGCGCTGGCCACTTGACCATGTGGGTGCCGTACTTATTGTCAAAGAGGTAGTCGGGCTGCGCGGCGTTCGCAAGCGGCCACCACCCAGAGGCGCGGATCGGAAACTGGTGCCCCCCAGTCCCTGCATTCGAGACCTCGCCTGGGGAGCCGCACAAGTGCCCCTCGATCCCGAAGTCAACGGCGCCGTCCTCTGGCTGCAGCTGACAAGTGTTGTCCTCGAGCGCTAGTCTGTACTGGTGCCTGTAGAACAGCCCGTCCTTCAGTATGAACCTGGAGGGGAGGATAGGGAGAAGGCGGTAAAACTACTTGGGGCCTGAACGATGCGTCCCCTACGTGCCCCGCCGAGACGTCTCCGAGGCAGCGGCAAGACCGCGAGTACCTGGGACGACATGGGGGGGCCGACCAACGGCCGAATCGGCGACGCACAGGCCGCTCAAGGTCCGACGCCACAAACACCCCTGGCGATCCGACCCTCACTTCCTTCCCTTGGGAGCCCCTTACTGCCGAGGTTGCAGTTCTGCGCATCTTCCCTCAGGGACAGGAGCCCCGGCCTCCAGCTGGCCTCGTCAAAGGGCAGGGTGGTCGGCACGGCCACCGACGTGTCCGCGAACCAGATGCGGGGATTGTACAGGAAGATCTTCTGCCCAGCCCCACAGGAACTCGTCGTGCCCAGCCCGACGATCCCGCCGATCTGCTCCTCCACGTGGCAGACGTAGCCGCCCCACCCTTCCCGGGAAGGCCATCCGCCCGAGCAGTCGTCTCCATCGTAGCCGTTGCCCGAGTCGAAGCAGCTCTGCTGGCAGTACTTGCCGCCGACCCACTCGGGGTCGTACTTGCACCAGTTGTTGAGGTGGACGCCTCCGTTGGTGGTGCAGGGAGTGCTCTGGTAAGCCCACAGCGGCGTCTGCACGTCCGTGCAGTCCGTCATCGGAGCACTGAGGCCGTTGTTGGTGTACCCTGGATCGATGTCCGTCCGCACCACGTTGCCGATCTTCACGTTCCCACCGTAGATCAGGATGTTCGACCCAATGTCGTCTTTGGTCAGCGCGTACCCGTGCCATCGAGAGCCCTTCGCGCAGATGTCCCTCTCGTCAAAGTTTATGTGCGCGGTCAGGCTGTTCTTCCGTGGGCTGACGCGCTTCCGGTAGTACTCCCGGTGGGAGCCAGCCGGTAGCTGCATCTGTTCCAGGATCCACTCGGAGTAGCTCTTCCCCTGCAGCTCATCCAAGGACTCCTTCGTCGGCCCGAAGCTGGCCTGCAGCAGGAACCTGGCGTCGAGGGCCCTGGCTGGAGTCTCCGTGGGGGCCGCCGTAGGGGCCGCCGCCGTCGGAGCCGCCGTCGGCGGAACTGGTGTCGGAGCCGCCGTCGGCGGAGCTGGCGTCGGAGCTGCCGTCGGAGCTGCCGTCGGAGCTGCCGTCGGCCCTGCTGGCACTGCAGTCGGCGACAGCGTAGGCATCGGCGTCGGAGCGTGTGTCGGGTATGCCGTCGGAGTCCCCGTCGGAGCTGCTGTTGGGACCACCGTCGGCGTGACCAGAGGAGCTGCCGTCGGGGGTGCCGTCGGAGTCCCCATCGGAGCCGGCGTCGCTGCAGGCGTCGGAATCGGTGATGGTGCTGGCGTCGCCGCTGGCGTCGGTATTGGCGTCAAGGGCGGCGCGGGCGTCGGAGTCATGTCGAAGAGCGTGGCGGTGGGGATGATGTGCTCAGACAGGTTGAACCTGTGCCCGCCGACCCCCGCTGGGCGAGAGTGGAGGCCGAGCGTGCGAAGTGTGCCGTCCCGCCCCCGGACGACCTGCCAGACCACCCCAGCCCAACCCGAGGACCAAGATCTCGGGTTGTCCGAAGCCCCAAACCTCGGCTTGGGGGGGGGGGCGGGTTACGCGCGTGTGTTTGCAATGTTTCCCGACGCCCCCCCCCCCCCCCGCCCCCGCTGGGAATAGGGGGCAAATTGGGGCCTGCGGGTGGGGTTGGGGTGGCTTCTTGGGTGGCGGCCCCCTGGCCCACCCTCTCGCCCGCCTCCCCCTCCCCTCCCCTCCCCTCCCCTCCCTCCCCTCCCTCCTCCCCTGGTCCCTGTCGCCTGCCTCCCCCTCCCCTCCCCTCCCTCCCTCCCCTCCCTCCTCCCCTGGTCCCTGTCGCCTGCCTCCGCCCCCCCCCCGCCTCGCCTCGCTCCTCCCCTCGTCCCCGCGGACCTCTCTGCCCGTGCGGCGGGGGGCCAGCGCGCTGCGGAGAGAGGGGGGCCACTCGGCACTCGCGGAGGCCGGCCGGCGGCGAGCAGAAGAGGGCGCCAGGCATGGCGAGGGGGGGCGAGAGAGCGAAGGGGGGGGGCCAGAGCATGGCTCTCTGACGGAGGCCAGAGCGACCTCCGGGGGGGCGGGGGCGATCGTGCGCGAGAGAGCACCCCGCCCCCCGGAGGTCGCTCTGGCCTCCGGGAGGCGCCCGAACGGGAGCGTCCAGGGGGCAGGATCCCTCCGAGAAGCCCCCCCCCCCGTGGACCAGAGAACCGACCACGCCACCCCACCCACGGCCCCACGGGGCTCAGCACATGTACCAGGGGATATGGCGTGGGCTTGCGCGTGGTACGCGCTACGGCCCCCGTTGGGCCGTAGCGCAGCATGGATGGCCAGTAGGTGGGGCGGTGTCGTTTGTTCTTGGGTCGACCCGTGGCGCTATCGTCAAGTCGGGCATGTCCTCCTACAGGCGGATTTTCGGCGGAAGATATAGAGCATACAAAAACACTCAAAACTAGTCAAAAAATAATAAAACATACTAGCCAAAATGTTCGACGACAAACTAATCAAAAATAGTCGAAACATCGTTCCCAGACTATGTTTAAACTGGTTTTGAATACTCTTCCTGTGGAGGGACATGCTTTAAACTGGTTTTGAATACTCTTCCTGTGGAGGGACATGCCCGAAGTAACGCTATCAGAAGGCCGCCACCCTCGCCCTGCCACCGCGGCCAGGACCAGAGTCGGGGATGGACAGAACCCCCCTCAGCAAAACGCGGTTTAGTGAAAAAGGCGTCGGGCCCGAACCTGGCGGGCGCCAGCCTGGAAAATGACGGCCGCGGCGCCCTCTCGAGAACCGAAAACGCACAAATCACTGATCGACGTGTCAGGGTGGGGGTTCTGTCCACCCCCGACAGGGCCCCCTGGGCGCCGCGGCCCCGCCCTGGCTCTGGGGCTTGTGCGCCCCGCGGGCCCGCTGCGGACGCCCCCGCTGCCGAGCCCCGCCTCGCCCGCGCCCGCCCCAGACCCCCTCGCGTCGCGAAAGAATCGTGACGGGAGGCTCTTCACCATGTTCGGCCTCTGGGGGCCCCTGCCGGGCCTCGGGATCGGCGTTTGGTCGCCCCACGGCTGCACTTGTCTCGGGCGCGCCAATCATCCCCCTCCTCCCCTCCTCCTCCTCCCCCTTCCACTCGTTTTCCTTACGAATAATTTCTCCCTGTCGCACCCCGAAGCCAGTTTTTAGGGAGGGCCGGGCGTTTCGCCTGAGACTTCCCCACGCCACTTATGACTCTGAAGCTTGAAAAATTGCAATAGTTTCACGGATTGAGGGCGGGTGGTTTTTAAAATGTGGCTCCCGCCTCAGCGCCGCGCACATTCGTTTGTAAACATTTGCAAGAGCTTCACGGATTGAGGGCGGCTCCTTTTCAAAATGTGGCTCTCGCCTTAGCGCCGCGCACATTCGTTGCAAAAAATGCCAGAGCTTCACGGATTCCCATGATCAACGTACCATAAATGGCGCTTTGGAAGGATTCAGGATTATGCGGGCGCAACAGTTATGTTGATTCGCGGTGTTGAAGTCCCAAAAATGGCGTTCTGGCACGATTCCAAATCGTCAGGACGCAGCAGTCAGGTTGATCCGTGGCGTGGAAATCCCGAGACTAATGTTTTGGCATGCGTGTCTTCCAACGAGGCAGTTCCCTCAATGGAAATGACCCGCTGTAGGTGCATATGAAGAGGGAGGTTGGAGGGAGGGTTAATTCCAACATCATTGATGACTCTTGGGTGTACACTGGTCCTCCTCCTCCTCCTCCTCCTCCTCCTCCTCCTCCTCCTCCTCCTCCTCCTCCTCCCCCTCCTCCTCCTCCTCCTCGTGAAAAAAACGACTCGGGATGAAAAACCGATCCCTGGGAAGGGGTCCAGACCCTGGGGGTCGCGTCACAAGAAAAATCACGATGTCGGGGATCTGGGGCCACCGCCCGGCGCCCTGCCACAGCGCCGGCCCGGCGGCCGCGGCCCGCCGGCTGGCTCGCGCCAGGGACGAGTCGGCCACTGGACGTCTTCTGGTTCGGCGTTTCGGCATGGAGCGAAACGGGAGGGGGGGGGGGGTCTGGCTCTGGACCTCTGCTCAGTGCGACTGGCTGGAACGGTGCTCCCATGGGGAAGCCCATGGAGAGGCGGGCCTCCGTGCTTACTCCACCTGCTTGAGGTGCGAGGGCCCGCGCCCATCGGCAAAAAAAAACAAGAAAACTGCTATTATGCCGATCAGGTTTGAAGCCACCGAGAGCGGAACGAAAGCCTTGTGCGCGCAAAAGAATGTCCGTGTCGTGTTCAGGACCTTGAGTTCTTGAAGATACGACCTGCCACACCGCCAGCCCGGCTTCCGCGGCCCGTCAGCCAGCTCGCGCCAGGGATGAGTCGAACAATGGTATGCCGATCATGACATCATCTAGAGCGCAACGAGAGCACTGTGCGCGCAAAGAATGATGCTGATCATGTTTGAAGCCACCTAAAGCGGAACGAAAGCACTGTGCGCGCAGAGGAATGCTCGAGTTCGTGAAAAGGCGGCGCGCCCGGGAGGGAGTGAGAAGGGGCGGGCCTTCTCGGAAGGCTCGGAAGTCCCCCGGCCTGCTGAGAAGTTTTCTAAGCCTTCCCCGGAAACAGAAAGAGTAATAAAATAACATAAAAACTCAGAAGGCGCGAGGGCTTCTGAGAAGTCCCGCCGCCTTCTGAGCAGGCCTTGCCCTTCTCACCTCCCCCCTCGCTCGCCGCCGAGTGAAGTTACCTGCCCGCTCAAGCCTTGAAAAATATCTGAAACATCTCACGACGATCCACTCTGGCGAACAAGCCGCGCACCTCTGGCGGGCCCGTGCCCGACGGCCACTTAGCCTGCGGCAGGCTCGCACCACGACGATCCCCCGCGCTGGTCTCTGACACCGCGCGGGTCGTTCAGCCGCCGCGCCGATCGTTGAACCTCGAACGATCGGCGGCTTCTCGATCGCCAGGTCGCTCCGCATGGGCAGATTCCGGGTCACTGGCAGCGTTGAGCCTCGAAGGACCGCGGCGGGGTCGCCGCCGCACCGATACGGCGCAAGCCTGCGGTGTCCGGATGCGCCGCCGCGGAGCGAGGGGCATAGATTGGGGAACGCCTTGTCGTGCCCGCTTGCGAGGCCCATCCACTCGGCGATGGGCACCATCATGCTCTCCCACGGGAACTTGGGGATGGTGCGCCCGCGCCCCACGTGGTAGTCGTGGTCGGCAGTCTCCAGGTACGAGTCCAGGAACTCATTCAGGATCTGTCCTCCACGAACGGCGCCGCCGAGAACAAAGTGGTTCCCTCCCCACCCGTGATCGGTGCCAGCGCCGTTCGACGTCAGGGTGCGCCCGAAATCCGACTGGGAGACCACAACAACGCTGTCGAAGATGCCCTGCGCGTCCAGCTCTCCCACAAAGTCCTTCAGCGCGTCGTCGACCGTGGTGAAGAGCGGTGCAAGGCCGACCTGCCCGTCGTTCTGGTTGCCGTGCGTGTCAAAGCCCATGAGCTGCACAAAGAAGAAGTCCCGCTCCACCTTCCGCAGGCCACGCCCCTTGATGAGGAGGGCGACCTGGCGGAGCTGCTGCGCCAGTGCGCTCACCTGGAGGGGGAAGCTGCAGAATAAACACCGAGCTGAACAAACGTGTTCTTTGTTATCCGCGCAGTCCCCATAGTTTCTATGACGCGTAGAGCAATTTCTTCCTATCTCAAACGCAGGGGTGCACCCAACACCGCTCCGACTCTCGCTTCCTGGCCTGGCCTTCAAGGGAAACGAAATCCCACCAGCCCTACAGGGCGTGAGTAGTTCAGGGTGTTTCTTCTTGCATCTTCCCTCTTTCCCTTCGGGGACGGGTTTACCCCTTCCCCATACCACCTGACCCTGGGTCTGGAGGGGAGAATGCGAGGTCTCAGGGTTTTTTTTTGGGCCTCGGCAAGAAGGCCAAAACCATCGAGCTGACGAAGGTTTTGGCCACATGTTGGCCTCCTGAGGGGGGAGGCCGAATTTAGGAGCCCCCCGTCTTTTGATCGATATCCTCCAAGATAGTCCCAAAATGGCCCCCGAGGCTCCCAAGGGTGCCCCAAGAGGCCCACAAGAGGCCCCCAAGATGCCCCCAAGAGGCTCCCAACAGACCCCCAAGAGGCCCCAAGAGGCCCCCCAGAGGCACCCAAGACACCCCAAGAGGCCTCGGCGAGAAGGTCGAAATCATTGCTCTTGCGATGGTTTTGGCCACATGTTGGCCTTCTGGGTGGGGGACCCTAATGAAAGAGCCCCCTCCTTTGATCGATCTCTGCCAGGATGGTCCCAAGATGGCCCCCGGTGCTCCCGAGGGTGCCCGAAGAGGGCCCCAAGAGGTGCCCAGGAGGCCCCAAAAGAGGCCCCCCAGAGGCACCCAAGAGGCTCCCAACAGACCCCCAAGAGGCCCCAAGAGGCTCCCCAGAGGCACTCAAGACGCCTCAAGAGGCCCCCGGGACTGCCAAGATACACCCAAGACGCCCAGAGAGGACTCCAAGAAACTCTCGAACGAAATTCGAAAAGACTCCGAGAGGCATCCAAAAGGCCTCTGGCCTTTCTGCTCGCCCTCCTCCTCCTCCTCCTCCTCCTCCTCCGCCTCCTCCTCCTCCTCCTCCTCTTTCTCCTTTTTCTCCTCTTTCTCCTCCTCCTCCTCATCATCCTCCTCCTTCACCTCCTCCTCCTCCTCCTCCTCCTCCTCCTCCTCCTCCTCCTCCCCCTCCCTCCTCCTCATCTTCCTCATTCCCCTGTTCATCCTCCTTCCTCCTCCCTCCTCCCCCTCTCCCTGTCCCTCCTCATCCTCTTCCTCCTCCTCCTCTTCCTCCTCCTCCTCCTCCTCCTCCTCCTCCGACTCCGACTCCTCCGACTCCTCCGACTCCTCCTCCGATTCCTCCTCCATCCTACCTCTCTCACTGATTTTCCGTAGGGTTCTGAAGGAACTTGGTGTTCTCGCCATTTCGGCTCCCTAAGATCGCCCCAAGACGGCCAAAGAGGCCTCCAAGAGGGCCCCAAGACGGCCCAAGAGGGGCCAAGATGGCTCAAAAGGCCTCCAAAAACTGCCCAAGATACTTTCAAGACGGCTCCAAGAGGGAGCCCAGACGGGAGACCCGATCTGACATTTCGAGCCCTCGGCCCCGAGAAGCAAGCCCCCAGGAGGCCCCAAGGAGCCCCCAAGAGGCCTCCAAGAGGCCCCGAGAGGCCGCCAAGAGGCCTCCAGGAAGCCTCAAGAGGCCCCCCAGAGGCTCCCAAGAGGCTCCCAAGAGGCTCCCAAGAGGCTCCCAAGAGGCTCCCAAGAGGCTCCAAGACTGCCCTCCAGAAGCCCCCGAGAGTGCTTCGAAGAGACCCCAAGAAGCATTGACACACAACCTAGGCATGGCAGTGGGACAGTAGAGGCCAGAACCCCCACGACAAGCTCCAAAGCAACTACTTCACGAACATGCCTGCTGTCGCAACGCCTCCGAAAAAAAGACCACCACCAAGCAGCGCCGCACGGGCCACGAACGCGCAGGCAAACGCCAGCGATGGCACAATTCGGGCCGGCGGAATTAGCGAAGCGATTTGATAAAATGTCCGTCGAGCGAGACTGATCAGAAGCGACATCGCCGCTCATCCCTGCCGCTCCTTCTATCCAAGCATCGGGGGCCTATGGGTGTAGGGGTGAGGGCATCTGCAGACCAAATCTCAGACTCTTCTGCCCCGTCGCCGTCTCGTAGGTGTCCGCTGTCTCGAGCCCCACCTGGTCAAAAAGAACCCCCAACTCCTCGCTGGTCTTGATGTGGTCGGCGAACGACTTCGCGTACTCCTCGCAATAAAAATTGCCGTAGCTCTGCTGGGTGATCGAGTCGATGGCGCCGCTCCATTCCTGGAACTTGTCGAAGCGGATGGCGCCCTTCTCTGGGTGGATGATCTCGGTGCTGGTGTTGAAGCCCACAGACCACGTGGCAATACCAGAAACCGAGAAAGAGGCGACCGACTTTTTCTGCACGGCCGCCAGCACGTCCGCCACGCGGCCGCCCACGCCTCTCGGCACCGCGCCCGCCTCCTGACACTTGAGCGTCTGCGCGGCGTTCTGCTGGTGATTGTGGGAGAAGATGCCCAGGCACCGGTCGGCCTCGCCGTTCTTCCACGTCGCTTTGGTGGTGGGCTCCACCAGGGCCCCGACATTGCTGACGAACGCTGCCTGCTTGCGCGACTCGTAGAGCTGCTGCAGGAATGGCATGGACGGGTGCACGCCGAACGAGCTGCACGCCTGCCCAGCCGTCGTGATGGGCAGGAGGCTCCCTTGGGCGACCGCCATGTTCCCGCGTGCGCTGGCGTACTCCGTGTAAAGGGAACAGCCGATCGGCACGATCAGGTTGTAGGTGTCGGCGCCGCCGTGCATGAAGAGCATCACCACCGCCCTGTACGAGTCTGGCGTGTGTTTCTCATCCTCCGTCTGAGCTGGGCGGGTGCCGTTCGGCTGAGGCGCACCGAGGGTCTGGAACTCTGGCGTCAGCAGCATTGCCTGCTGCGCCCCTTTGAGCCCAGCGCCCGCGTACGCGTCCTGCACCACCTGCTTGTTGTGAGGCGTGAGGCGGCCGCCAGTGAGCAACAGATCCAGCTTCTCCACGGCCTCAGCGTCCGAGGAGGCGTTGGGGGAATAGAGCAGGTCCCCCTCGTGGCACTCCATCGCGTCATCGCTGCCGTAGTTGGAGCCGAAGCTCCCCGTGTACTGGTTCACGGCAAACACCACCCCCCAGCCGTCCTTGCAGATGCTGACGCCGCGGTCCATGATCCTGGGGAGCTGCCGAGAGGGGGGGTCACCACCCGGGGGAGTCGCCGCTTCCTCGAGGAGGCGGGCCGCAAGAGCGCTCCAGAGCCTCCCAGAACTCGGCGGCGAGCGAGGGGGGAGGTGAGAAGAACAAGGCCTGCTCAGAAGGCTGCGGGACTTCTCAGAAGCCCTCGCGCCTTCCGAGAAGTTTTTGGGGGGGGTCTTCGGGGAAGGCTTAGAAAACTCCTCAGAGGCTGGGGGACTTCCGAGCCTTCTGAGAAGGCCTTCTCTCCAATTCACTCCCCCCCCCCCTCGCTCGCCGCCGAAGAGCGGCCCCCGACGTCCAAGAATCTCCCCGAGCTTCGATCCTGGAGCCCCTCCTCTTCTGGGAGGAGCCGGTGAAGCCCCCACTGGTGGCCCCCCTTGAGACCGCTGCTCATGGTTCGGCGATAACCCAGGTGACCCATCGGTCGGAAGGAGCAGGTAGAAGCATGAGGTAGGAAGGCGCTGAAAGTATATATGGGTTCCGTCCGCTGCCTGGGGAGGACAGAGAAGGGGAAGCACCGCGATCATGGAAGTGGGAAGGCGCTCAAAGTAGATTGGAATATGGGAACCCAAAAATGCCTACTTTCAACGACCGATGGGTATCCGCTGAAGGTGGGGGGGAGGAGGTGCTGGCCGAGAGCCAAGCCGTTTGGCCGCGGACAGCCCCACGTGTGCCCGCGCGCCAGTGCTGTTCGAGCAGGAGATCGACTAGAGAATGATTTTACCCCGCAACTGAATGTCTCGTCGGATCGACGAATCATCTACGACATGTCTGCGCACTTTGTCGTGGATCCGATGGGAACATTCGATTCCGAAGCAAAACAATGATGTAGTCGATCTCCTGCTCGAACTGTGTACCCCTTTCGGACCTGCGCAGCCGACAAGGTCAGGTTATATCCATAGGGGGGAGAAAGAGGGCGGGCAGGCCCGAGAACCTGGGGCATCGCCAGACCCTAAAAAAAACAGTCTCTTGGCGCTGCCCGAGATCCCCGCCACGCCGTTGAGCCACCCGATGGCCCAGGGCGGGGTGAAGATCTGGAACTCGGGGCCGACGAACGGCTCGGGCTGAGGCTCTGGCTCCGGGGACGGCGTCGGGCTGGTGGCCTGGGGCGAGGGGGGGCAGAGCGCGCCGCGCGAAGCACACCGCACTGTGGGAGCCGAGCGTGGTCGAGGGTGTGGGAGGGGACCCACGTGAAGAGGGGTACGGTGAGGGCGTTCGATCCGGATTTTTCCTTATCAGGCAGCATAGAGGACCACTTCGTTAAATATTCACCTGCTCGTGATAAGTACGTATATTACACTCGAGAGCTGACAGGTCACTAGTGCCTCGCTGTCACGCGGATAAGGAACCCTTGGATAAGGAGTCCAGGGTCTGAAAGCCAGCGGAGCACCAATTGAGGCTCGGCCATGGATATCACTGCCGCCCTCATCGGATCAGGAGTCCTCCATGCCTGCCTAATGGACACATTCCTGAACAAACGCCCCCACTGGAAGCGAGAGAGTACCCATCGGTCGAGATAAGTTGATTAATACATGAAGAAGAAGACGAAGAAGAAGAAGGCGTTGGAAGCAGGCTGGAAATCCGCGCGCCTTCTGGAGAGAAGGGGGCAAGGAAACCACTCGATCCTTGAAATAGGAAGGTCCCTAAAGTAGACTGGGATCCTGGAATCCAAAATACACATTTTCCGCACACATGGGACCGATGGGTAAAGAGTCGTCGGCACGGCGGGACAATCCGAACGCGCTCCACGTGGAAGGACACCAGCCACACACCAACATCTGTCGTGGGCTCGGGGTCACTGTACGCGCCCTCTTGGCTCGGCCAGAACGGTATATCAGAGCGAGGGGGCCGAACGGTCATTCACTGTCCCTGGGCGCGTGGCTGAAGTGGGGTTACGCGGTGGAAACTGGTGTTGTTGGTGGTGTTGTTGCTGTTGATGTTGCTGTAGTTTCCTTTTTGACAAAAAAAAAAACTATGACTATTGATCCCCCCCGGTCTGGTGACCACTGTGTGTTTCAATTCAAGAGCTCCTCCCGGGGCTTGCACCTTTGTTACATTGGAAAATGTGGGGTCACGAATCTGCGCCCCTGGCCCCTGGGGTTCCAACAGCAAACACAACAACAACAACAACAACAACAACAACAACAACAACAACAACAACAACAACAACAATTACTAGCACGTGGGGACACTCCGTTCTCACCAGTGCCAGGGTTTTCATAGGAGGCGGGCAATACCCCCACTTTGTGGGGGGGCCGGTTCAAGCTCTACCAAATTTCCAAACGACTCTTCGCCACCACCCACACCCAGCTTCCCGCCCTATGACGTTCGGACACTTCACTTCGTGGCATGCGGACGACCGTGGCTACTATTCAGGGCCCCGCGGCCGACGACGACGGCGTGCGCGCGCGAAGAAAAAACGAATGTGTCCCGCATGGTATTATTTGACAGGGATGATGGCCCTGGCAGGTGCGCAACCGTTGTTGCAGAAGTTCGAAAAAGTTGCTCGCAAAAGCCCGTTTGACAGAAATGTTTAAAAAGTGTTGGGTTTCCTACGAATCCGCAAGAGCGCGCGGGATGAAATTTTGACATTTTTTTTTTGAAAAACCATTGGTTTTTTGATGTTTTTATGTTAAAATCGCTACGAAAACTAAGGTTTTGGAAGGATTTCGTCTTGCGCGCGCGAATGTCCACTTTACCTTATTTTTTGCAAGGGATTCTTGAAGTTTGGTTATGTTAGAACAAGAAATGTCCACTTTAGCTTATTTTTTGCAAGGGAAAACGGGGGACAACAAAACAACCGGATCCGGACACCCACGTTTTGCCTGAGACTTCCTCACGAAAATGATGAAAATGTGGCTGCGGCCTAGGCGCGGCGAGGGGGCCGCGCACCAGGGGTCCCAACAATAATTATTCTTTAGAATAAATAATGTTCAACAACAACAACAACAACAACAACAACAACAACAACAACAACAACAACAACAACAACTACAACTACAACAACAACAACAAAAACAACAACAAAAACAACAAGAACAACAACAAAAACGACGACACCAATAACAACAACAGCAACAACAACAACCACCACAACCACAACCACTATCACAACAACAACAATCAATTCCAGATAAATCGCCCTTATCCGCTCGCGGGCCATTCAACACGCATACCCCAAAACCTCGATACCCGCCACCTTCGTCTTCGATCGTACCCCCTTGGGGTCACAAATCTCTCATACCTGCAACGTGTATTTGGTGCAGCCCCTAAGGCAGGGGAAGAAAAGACGGATGGAAGGAAGGGACAAGGGGGAGAGAGTAGCAAGAGGGGCCTAGGAGCAGAAAACACGTGGCAGAACCAGACGGGCAGATCGGACGGGTAGACCCTAACGGGCGGGTCGGGAAGGCGGGCCCAGACGGCCAGGTCGAACAGGCGGGTTGCTGAAGCGTGCGTCCTGCATGAATCGCGAGGAAATCTCGAGCGACAGCGCGATTCCCTAATAAATCGTCAGGAAATCCACTGTGAGAGAAGCGAAAGCGTCATTCCTGAGTGTCGAGGGCCCAGCGGTTGAAACAAGTGGCGAGGAGGTCCCACGCGAGAGCGCGATTCCTGCATGAAGTGTGAGGAAGTCCCGCGCGAGAGCGCGTTTTAGGAATAAATTGCGAGGAAGTATCAGGAAGGAGCCGTTGTTGTTGCAAACTGGGGGCCAGGGGCACAGCTTGGTGAGCTCTCGCTTTCTCTTCGAAGAAACATAGTGCGAGCCCTGGGAGAAGCACTCCATTGAAAAATACCATGGCCACCGACGGGGGGGCAACAAGACTTAATCTCAAGAACCACAACAACAACAACAACAACAACAACAACAACAACAACAATAATAACAACAACAACAACAACAACAACAACAACAACAACAACAACAACAACAACAACAACAACAACAACAACAACAGCAACAACAACAATAACAATAACAACAACAACAACAACAACAACAACAACAACAACAACAACAACAACAACAACAACAACAACAGCAGCAACAACAACAACGGCAGCAACAACGACGACGACGACAATCAATCACAACAACAAGTTTAAAGACTGCTCGCTCTTATCTGCTCGCGTGCCGTTCAACACGCGTACCCCAAAACCTCGATACAGGCCCTCTTCGTCTTCGATCGTACCCCCCTGGGGGCAAATCTTTCTTACCTGCAGCGTGCATATCGTGCAACCCCTAAGGCAGGGAAGAGAAGGGACAAAGGGGAGGGAGGACGATGGAGCACAAGAGAGATTAACAGGAGAGGGGCTAGGAGCAGAAACCACGTGGCAGAACCAGACGGGCAGATCGGGCGGGTAGACCCTAACGGGCGGGTCGGGAAGGCGGGCTCAGACGGCCAGGTCGAACAGGCGGGTTGCTGAAGCGTGCGTCCTGCATGAATCGCGAGAAGTTTCGAGCAACAGCGCGATTCCCAAGTAAATCGTCAGGAAATCCAAATCGAGAGCGTGATTCCTGAGTGTCGAGGGCCCAGCGTCTGAAAAAATGTCAAAAGTCCCACGCGAGCGCGATTCCTGCATTAATTGTGAAGACGTCCCGCGCGAGAACGCGATTTTCAAATGAATTGTGAGAGCGTATCAGGCGGGAGCCGTTGTTTTTGTAAACCGGTGAACAGGGTGCGGGCCCCAGAAGGAACGCTTCCAGTGAAAAACATGAGTCACCAGGGGGGACCCACAAGAAGTATTCTTCAAGAATGAGAATTCAACGGCTCCCGCCTCATACTTCCTCCAATGCCTTTTTGGTTGTTCACGCTCTCGCGCGGGACTTCCTGTCAACTTATGCAGGATCGCACTCCCACGTGGAATTCAAACACCGCGCCATCGACACTCAGGAACTGCGCTCTCGATTGGGCCTTTCTCACGATTTACTTGGGAATCGCGCTGTCGCTCGGGACTTCCTCGCGATGCATGCAGGACGCACGCTTCAGCAACCCGCCTGTTCGACTTGGCCGCCTTGACCAGCCTTTCCGACCCGCCCATTAGGGCCTACCCGCCCAATCTGCCCCGCTGGTTCTGCCACGTGTTTTCTGCTCCTAGCCCCCCTCATGCTAATCTCTCTTTTGCTCCATCCTTCTCCCTCCCCCTTCAATCCGTCCTCCCTTCCCCTGTTTTAGAAGCTGCACCTACTACACGTGGCAGGCAAGGGAGGTATACCCCCAAGGGGGTACGATCGAAGACGAAGAAGGCGGGTACCGATGGTTTGGGATTTACGTGTTAGAAGCTACGCGTGCAAGTAGGAGCGAACAGTCTTAAAATGATTGCTGTTGTTGCTGTTGTCGTCGTCGTCGTCGCCCGTGACCCACCCCGCGACCCACCCGCGACGCATCCACATTGCTTTGACGGAAAATCTTCACCTGCGGCGGGCCCGCTGTGCAATTTGAAAAGAATAACACAACAGGCGCCTGCGGCGGGCTTGTTCAGAGCCTTGAAGACTGCCGGCGATCCCTCCGCCCCCTCACTCCTTTCCGCAGTTGCGGGATGCTGCGTACACGGATCCCGAGCCCAGGATGGGCGGCCTGAACAGGGTCGGCATTGGATTGGTAAAGGACCCAATGCCCCTGATAATCACAGGGTGCGGAAAAAAATCGAGGTTCAGGGGGATCATCCATTTTTCTCCTGGTAACTAGTAGATACGATGAGATGTCAGTATGTTGTGCCGATATCCTGCTCGATTCGTACTGTCCCAGGCGAGACGTGATGAAGTTTGACTTCGCCGCCCCTTCCCGCGACCAACTCTGTCTTGGCCCAGGAGAATAAACTCTCAAGGGTTAAGTGGGAGAGATGCTTTATCATCAGTCACTGCACCGACCTTGCAGGCGTGCTGCAGCGGATTTTTGCGTGGACTTCTGCCCATGCAAAACCACGAAACGGCGAGTGAAAAACGAAGTGAGTTTCATGCCTGGCCACCCAAAAAACGCACAAAATTCAACCCGAAATCCGGAACGAGATTCTCCCAGACACTCCGGGCCCATCCCATCGTTTATGGAATCCGCTCTGCGATGTTGGCGCCATGACCAGTGCTCCATGGCCGCGCAGGAGCCGAAGAGCCCGGGGGGTGGGCCTCTGGCGGAGACCGCCCCAGGGGAAGCTCGGGCCGAGCGCAGGCCTCCGAGCAGGAGCTGCTCCAGAGCCGTCCTCCTCCTCCTCCTCCTCCTCCTCCTCCTCCTCCTCCTCCTCCTCCTCCTCCCCCTCCTCCTCATCTATGCAGCTACAGTCAACCCGTAGCATAAGGACGCGCGGGAAGGATGCAAGGGCCTTGGAGCACATGCACAACGGCCTGCTTCGAGGTATTCGTCACTACGATCGGGGGCGCACGGATGGCACGATCAGTCAACCCAAGTCGTACGAGTGCCCTGCTTGCGAATATCATACTACCGACAACGACGACTTCCGTAGGCATATTTTGGCTGAGCATCTACAGCCGCTTCTACACGAACGCTTACTTGAGTTTCAGTTGCCAGGTCTCCAGGAGGCGATCGACCACTACAGCCAACCCGTATGGTCAGGATGCGCGGTAAGGACGCAAGGGCCTCGGAGAGCCGTGTCCACGCTTTTCGAACGAGGCTGAGCAGCGAAAGTCGCTGAGGATGGGCCGAAGGGGCAAGGATGCAAGGGGCAGCCTTGGGGAAGGCCGCCCGTCCTTGCCGTGCGGGTTGACTGCATGCCTCGGGCGGACGGGCCGGGCGGAGGTGCGACGAGGGGGGGCCGTGGCCTCAGAGCCACGAGGCCCGAGGAAGGGCCCAGCGGTGCTGTGGGCACCCCGCGCGCGCTGGCAGCGGCCCCGAGGCCGACGGCCCCGCGCCGCGGGCCCGTCGCCTCGTCCGCAGGCCCCCGGCCCACGCGGCGGCCCCGCGAGAGGCCAGAGCGGTGGGCACGGGTATAAAGAAAAAGCCTGGCCGCCAGAGCCGCGTGCTTTGCCCATGCCCCGCTTCCCCTGGCTCCCCAGGAGCGGGGGGGGGGAATAGCAGGGCTAGGGAGCGGGCGTCGGTCGCGGATCTGCCCCCCTCAGATCCGCAGAGCACCGCGGCAGCGCAGGGCCTCGGGCGCAGTGCTCCCACGAGGGCAAGCACACGCGTGCGCGGCGGGGCGGGTCTGAGGCGCCTGAAGCTGCTCCTGCCGCGAAGCCTCCCGCCGCATCATCCCCTCCGTCACCTCACGAATGGCAAATTTATCCATATCCACGCGCTCGCGGTCTGGACTCCAGGGCGCCATCCCGCAAATGCGCGGTCGCACGGATGCGTTTCGCGCGGGGCATCCGAGAAAAAACGCCCCGTACCCACGGGGCCAGCCCACAAGGCCGCGGATAGCGGATATGTTTTTCGCTCACGATCACCCCCGAGAAGGCCGGTGGCGAGTACATGGCGTCGAAGTAATTAAAGACGGTCGGGGACCTGTACGGGAACTGCCCGATCGCCAGGTCCAGGTTGTTCGTGACGACCATCTGGTCCTTGTAGTCCGTGTACTCCATGGACCGCATGAAGTGCACCAGCTTCAACATCGGCTCCCTCAGAAGCCCAACGGTGTTGAGGTCGCCTGAGCGGGCCTCTGGGTGGAGCAGGATAGCCGCAACCGTGGCCCCGAGATCCCCGTACTTGCCAGAATAAACGTGGCCGTCGTAGGCACCTGTGGAGAAAGCCGTCGCCACGGCCTCGAGGTACGCGCCCGACGGGTTTGACGTGACGAAGCGCTGGATCAGCTTGCGGCTGACCACCACAGGCGTGTTGGAATGATAAAACAGGTGGTCCAGGAGGCTCTCCACCTCCGCGTGCGCGGCACGCTCCAGCGCCCGGCCAGTCTGACGGAGCGCCCCAGGGGCGATGAAGGCTGGCGGGTTGCGGAAGGAGGCGCTCCCCACGCGGACCATGCTCCGCTCGTTCTTGTAGAGCTTGCCGTCGACCTCGAAGACGGTGTCGGCGTCCAGAGGCCCAATGCCCCAAACTCTCACGTCGCCGCTGCACGGCGTCGCGCACTGGGCGCCGCTGGGCACCTCGAACACGAGAATCTTCAGGTCGGCCACCGCCTCCGCCTTGGTCGGGACGGTGGTGAACACCGGCTCGGCCTCCACCGTGACGTTGTAGTCGCCCGCAGGGGGAGGGCCGCCAGCTGCCCAGCTGGGCATGAACCTGTTCTGGGTGTGGTAGTGCGTGTGCGCACTGATCATGCCGTCCTCGTGGACCTTGAGCTCGAGTGAGCACGGGAAGGGTGTCCACACGCGCTCTGCAGGCAATCCGCACTCCTGCAGGGTCTCCTCCGCGCACAGGTGCATACCGAGGCTGGTGCAATGGCTCTCGGCGTCGTGGGCGCTGAAGTGATCGCCGCAGACGCGGTTCTCAGCGTAGGCGCCCTCGCTGCAGTCGTCGCCCTCGTAGCCAGCACCTCCCTCCCAGCAAGACAGCCGGCAAGCCTTGGGACCCAGCCAGTTGTACTCATCCCCGTACTTGCACCTGTGTGTGGTCATCTCAGGGAGATTGTCTGGATAGGTGAGCCAAGTCGTATTATGATCCAAGCAGGTGTAGCCCTTCAGTTGCATAAAATAGTTCTCATCGTTTGTGCAACCTCTGCAGCAGGAGGCGGCGGCGAGCTTCCCGTACGGCTGCACGCACTCACGCCCGAAATAATATACCGAAGCGCCCCACCACTGCCCGTCCTCCGTATACCTCCCGTTGTAGACGAACATGTGCACGCACGGTGGCGGCACGAACTCGTAGTAGCCGCCAGGGACCTGGATGAAGTTGAGCGACGTCAGCATGCACTCGGAGCCGTGGCACGGCAAGGTCGACGGCAACGTGCGCGAGGGGGCGAACTTGCAGTCCCCCGCGTCGCCGCCACACAGCGCACTCAGCAGACTCGAGCCGCTGCTCGGCTGGAACACCTGGACGCCGCAGTCGGGCGGGCCAGAGTACTGCTCGT